TGGTGGTGGTGGTGGTGGTGATGTTGCTGATGCTGATGATGATCATGATGATGAGAAGAAGAAGAGTAAGCATAATAAGAAAAATAAAAAGAAGAGGAGGAGAGAAGGAAGCGGAGGAGGAGGAGGAGGAGGAGAGAAGGAGGCGGAGGAGGAGGAGGAGGAGGAGGAGGAGGAGGAATTGGAGGAGGAGGAGGAGGAGAGGAGGAGGAGGGGAGGAGGAGGTGGGAGGAGGAGAAGGACGAGGTTGTGAGCAGGGAAGTGAGGAGGAGGAGGGAGAAGGAAGGGGGAGAAGGGCGGAGGCGAAGGAGGAGGAAGAGGTGGGGTGGAGGAGGAGGAGGGTTGAGGAGGAGGAGGAGGAGGAGGAAAGGGGGAGGAGGGATGGAATGATGGACTGGGACGAGGGTGAGGAGCTCGAGCTGAGGCCAGCGGGCCCCGCGGGCCACATCTGCTGGCGCGGGCGCGGGACGGCGCGGGGAGGTCGTGACCCTCGGGGGCATCCTGGGCCTTGCGGACGGTGAGCACATGCAGGAGGTGATCCGGCTTCCATGGGCGGGCTGGGGCAGGGGAGAGCCGATGCGCACCTATCACATGTCTCTGATCACCTATAATTTTTTCCCGCCGTCTCAGTATTATTTTGGTGTTGTTGTACTTCTTTCATCATCCACATCATCATCGTCATCATTGTCATCATCAGTATCACCATCATCATCATCAGCACCACCATCATCATCATCGTCATCATCATGTTCATCATCATTATCATCAACATCACCATCATCATCATTGTCGAGCCGAGGCGACTCGAGCGAAGTTTTGGGTCAACCTCTCCTTCCTCACTCTCTCTTGCCGCCGCCTCCGCGGCTGTATGGGATCGAGGAGGGGGCCCCCTCTTTTGTGCAGAGAGCGCGGCAGACACGCTCGCCGGCACGGGCCGGCGCCAGATGCTCGACGGACGAGCGCAGCACATCTCATCGTGCAGAGTACATCGTCGACGGTAATCACGACATTGGTATTGCGGAGCTAGATCCACGGACGAGTTCTGGCACTCCTGAAGGGACCAGAACACCATGCAGGGGGACGACAAGAAGTCCAAGGATGCCATTCCCGAATGGGACGGCAACCCAGGGCGTTGGCGCCACTTCGAGACGGCTGTGAAATGGTTCCCTCGCACTCTCAAGAGACAAGAGAGGGACCTGGCGGCGAACCGGATCATTGGTCGCATGCTGCAGAGTAAGACTATCGCCATCAGGACGTTTGCGACCACTCTGGATCCGGACCGATATGAGAATCCGAATGGCCACCTCCTCCTCCTAGACGACCTGAGGAGCAGCCCGCTTGGGAAGCTTCCGATCCCGGACGCCGCCCACAAGATCAAGCATTATTACAAGGATTTCAAGCGTCGCAAGGGCGAGACGGTGGGCGCGCTCCTGATCAGAGAGCAGGACTGCTACTCAGAGATGGTCCAGGCGCTGGAGCGCCTCCTGGAGGAGATGGGCGACAACGACAAGTACAAGCAGTGCCAGGAGTGCTACGGCTACTTCGAGAGAGACCGTGGCGCAACTGGACGCGGACAATGGTACTGCCAGAGGTGCTGGGACCACTGGGAGCCCAGCCCCGACGAGTCTGCGCCCCCAGCAGCAGATGATGCACCCGCTGAGGAAGCTGAAGAAGCAGATGAGTACGAACGACAGTCGATCACGTCTCGATCGCAGGGCTCTCGAACGGAACGTTTCCACCGACAAGAATCCATGGCTAGCAAGCTCAAGGTTTCGGAAGCGATGGCAGTGGGCTCTACGTTTTTCGGCCACGCTTCTGGAGTTCTGAAGGTCCTCCGCGGATTTTTCCTGCTCGAGGCAATGGACTTCACCGAGAAGGAGAAGCAGGACGTCCGCGTGGTCACGCAGAATCGTTTGGATTTCGATGCAGTCTCCAAGGCTTTGAAGGAGAGATGGGAGGACAAGGCGCTGGTGCAGCGAGACTTCGGGCCGAGGGCTATGCCTCGGTACGGCCCGGAGTCAGGCCCTCAGTCGGCCCTCGTTGCAGAGTTTGACGACGCACACGGACCAGACTGGTACGACGGCTACGCAGCGGCAGTTCAGGCGTGGGAGAACGACGGTTACGACCACCACGAGAACGAGGACGACTACGACGTCGTGGAGGAGCCGCAGCTCGCCTCAGAGCCAGAGGAGTCCGAGGCCATGGACGAGGATCTCAACCATCTCAACGAGGAGCTCGAGGCGGCCCAGGCGATGGCAGCAGAGGCTTCACGCACTCTGGTTCAAGCCAGGCAAGCAGTGGCCGCCGCTCACAAAGATCGAGGATTTGGCAAGCCATCATCGAGTCCAGGAGGGAAGAGTCGCCTTCCCCCGTCGTGGCCACACCAGCAGCCCTCGAGACCGCCATTCGGTGGTCGAGGCCCGAAGGGCAGCAAGGGCAGCAAGAGCGGCAAGGGCAGCAAGTACCGCGACAGGGACCACGACCAGAAGGGCAAGAATGCGAACTACCTGGAGTTCCACACGATCACGCACGGGTTTGACGAGCTCCAGGGTCTGTACCAGGCGGAGCTGAACGACAGCGGCCTCGCCCCCTCTGAGGCCATGGTTGATTGTGGGGCTTCCGCGTCCGCCGGAGGCGAGCGCGCAGTCCAGGCCCTGGTTGCCGCCGTTGCGGCTGCGAACCCACAGGCCAGGATCGAGATCAACAAAAATGAAAGACCGTGGTTTCGTTTCGGAGACAATAAGTGGGGTAGAGCACTGTATAAGGTTTCGGTCGAGTTCGAGCCGGGCTTCGTTCTGGGTATTTTCGCTCTCTGTCCTGGCGTGCCTCTCGTTCTGTTGGGAATGGCCGCTCTGGAGTCGTGGCCGGCAATCGTGAATTTCCGAACCGGGGAGGCTGTGATCAGGGGTCAACTGGCGCAGCTTCGCAAGACTCCAGGCAAGGGCCATTGCATCCTCGACCTGGTGAAGCACGTTTCCGAGATTTTAAACCCGACCGCGGAAAACACCGAGGGTCTTGCAAGGGCGTTTCAGAGATGGTCGATGACAAAAACGACATCACCAGCATCATCTCAGACAAGAACGACATTATCAGCATCATCTCGGACAAGAACGACTTTATCAGCACCATCTCAAACAAGAACGACACTATCAGCATCATCTCAGATGAGAACGACACCATCATCAGTATATACGGCCCTGACGACAACACCATCATGGATAACAGCAACATCACCTCCATCAACCATAACAGGGAGAGCAGCTCCATCATGGTCATCCCATCCTCCGCCGTCTTTTGGCTCTGGAACTCGCTCAGAGCGGATTTCGGCAATCCGCAAGCCGACGCTTCAGCCAGAGCGTTTCCATGGAGGGCAAGGACGAATGGGTACCTGTCGACATAGATGCCGACAAGAAGGAGGAGGGCCCGGAGGTAAAGTCACCTTCGGCGGCAGCGAGCTCCGGACCTACGACCCAGGTCAAGCGGGAGTTCGTCTTCAACGGCCAGAAGATGGAGTATGTCACCTCGGAGGGCAAGGTCAAGGAGAGAGATCCGGGCAACGCGCACCAGGGTCGCAAGAAGGAGAAGCAGATGGAGCTGGACCCGGCGTTCGCACTGCAGGTGGACCCCCGCGACCCGAGGACCACACGGGGACCGTGCGGGCAGACGCATCGCAAGTACTTCACGGTCAACAACCAGTGGGGCCAGACCAGGACGTGCTATCGGTGCGGGCTGAGGTTGCTCTACGTTCCGACGGCGAAGGCGCCGATGACGAACCTCAGCATGCAGCATCCGAAGTTGGTGGAGTCCGGCCTGGAGTTGGTGAGGCACTGCAACCTGTGGGAGACGGCCAATCACGAGCAGGTGGCCGCGATGATCAACATCGCCACCTCACTGCGGAGGCTCCCCGGGACCGAGATCCGACACGCGCCGGACGCGCTGCTGGAGATGTTGGGGGCAGCGAATCCCAGGCGCAAGGTCCAGATGGCCGAACCAGTACCCGGGCCAGTCTGAGCCGGGTGCCGAGACAGCTTCTGGCGGCCGGACGCCGCAGGACACTACTCGCAGGACTGGCTTTGGCCATGACCGTGGGTACGATCACCGAGGCAGTGGAGATCTGCTGCCATCCCAACAGCATGCTCACCGACGAGTGCACCAACATCGGCCTCAGCATGGAGCGGATCAGCATCGAGAACGGCTACAACCTCAGCACGAAGGCGGGGTTCGAGGCCGCTAGCAAGAAGTTGGACGAGGTGATGCCGAAGAGGGCTTGGATATCGCTACCATGCACACTATGGACTTCACTTGCGAACTTCAATTACAAGACGCCAGAGGCACGTGCACGCCTCGAGAAAGACCGACTTCGAGACCGACGACGTGTGAAGTATGGAGTTCTCCTGTTGCTAAAGATTGTTGACAACGGAGGCGAGGTCTACTTCGAGTGGCCTCACAGGTGTCAAGGCTGGAAGATTCCCGAGCTCAACTTTCTACGCACGGAGTTGAGGCGTCGGGGGCGACACGTCTTCGGGGATCGGATCGACGGGTGCATGTACGGCCTCAGGGACTACAACACTAACGAGCTCGTCGAGAAGGGCTGGAGGATCATGACCACCGACCCGGAGTTCTCCAAGGTCGCGACCGTGTGTGACCACTCACACGGCCACCGAGTCATCAGCGGGAAGCTACACACTGCAGCCACAGCCTACTACCCGCAGGCGATGTGCAAGGCAATTGCCCGACTATGGCATGCTCAACTCCGGACCCCGATCGACCTCAACATGGCCCTGGAGAACCCTGCTGTCCTCGACCTCGAGAATGCCTACCTGATGGAGCGGGACACTGGGAGCATCTACGTCGCTGACCCCACGGATCCCGAAAGGGAACAGGTGCGGGCGATGTTGAGCAGGATCCACAAGGCTGCAGGGCACCCAGGGAACGAGCACTTGGCTTACTGGTGCAAGAAGCGACAGTGTCCACGCTGGATCATCGAGGAAGCGATCAACCTACGCTGCGAGGCATGCGACCTGGTCAAGCACGGCCTCACCCACAAGGTCAAGGCGAGCCTCGACATCCCCATGGCACCTTGGCAGGCAGCCGTCATGGACGTTTCCGACCTGACGTTCCCGGACTTGAATGTAAAGGCCAGGTTTCTTCTCATCGCAGAGGTCGCCACCGGCCTGATGTGTGGAGACATCACTGCGAAGATCGGCCTCAAAGATAAAGGCACGGATTCGTCAGCTACACTGTTCACGACGTTTGCCAGAGCCTACCTTCAACACTATCCCAAGCCAAGGTGGGTTTTCGTCGATCCTCAGCCATCTTTTGTGGGCGGCGAGTTTAAAGACAACTGCCAGTTGGCCGGCATCGGCGTCTCAGCGAAACCAGGAGGAGCACATTGGATGGCTGGCGACATCGAGCGCCGCATCTCGACCGTCAAGCAGGTAATGAGGAAGCTTCGCCTACAATACCCGAAGCTGAGTCCCGAGACCGTGTTTTACATCTCGATTGCGGCGGCCAACAACATGGACAACATCAAGGGCTACACGCCGATGCAGTGGGCTTTCGGGTTCTCTCCCACCGAGGACCCAATCTTGGCGCATAACGCAGCTACTGGCAAGCTGAAGTCCGACTTCTTCGAGATCGAGCGGGTGCGAGCGGATGCAGAGGCGACTTACCTGAAGGAGAAGGCGTCCAGGAAGATCTCAGAGCTGAAGAACTCAGCCCCACGACCTCGACATGAATATAAACGAGGCGACTGGGTCTGTGTCTGGCGGTCATACGCTGCGACAGGGAAGCGAAAGCTTTCCGGACAGGATTTCTTCACGGACGGCCTCTTCATCGGACCGGGCAGAGTTCTGTTCTCCGAGCCGGCGGTCCAGACAGGCAACAAGGACGGCGTGATCTGGGTCATCATGGGCAACCGATGCTGGCGCTGCGCAGCTGAGCAACTGCGGCCAGCCACGCAGTCGGAGATCGTCCAGATCAACCTGAAGAAGGACGATATCCTCAACAGTCCGCTCGAGGACGTCTGGAGGCACCTCCAGGACTTTGACGACATCGCCGGGGAGCCCTCCCCAACGGCAGATGGCATGAGGATGCTACCACGTCAACCTCTTGAGGGCATGCCGAGGGTAATCGAGAATCCCGATGTGGCCGTGGAACCCCACGACGTCACGGAGGCAGATGACGACCTGGAGGTCGACGAGGACAACTCAGCACCAGAGCCACCACAGGTTAAGCGAACAAGATTGAGAGGCAAGCAACCGACTGTGTCGTGGCCACCTGTACCGACTGAAGCTTTCCAACCGCGTTTTGGGAGATCATCTTCATCAAGAGCCTCAGCTGAAGTTGCTCACGCTGCCCTCTTCAAGGCGACGAGCGACCATGTGGAAGCCAGCGAGACCGACATCATCAACTTCGTGCAGGATCCGAATAACGAGGCCGAGATGGACCTGATGAAGATTGAGATCGAGACGGACCTTGAGGAGTTCTGCTTCGATGCGAGCGCGTACCTGGAGAAGCAGCTGAACCGAGTGGCCAACAACACGGTCAAGAAGGGTGTGGAGGTTTCGTTTGGCCGCCTGAGCCCCGAGGAGAAGCCACTGTTTCAAGAGGCAATGGCACGGGAGCTGGCGGAACATCTGGAAGTACCGACAGTCCGGGCTGCATCGGCTTACGCTGACTACAATCATGGAAAAGACATTCCAGCGGACAAGCTGATCAAGATGAGGTGGCTACTGACCTGGAAGCCTTTGACACCACCTGAACCACCGGACAAGTCGGACCCACACCCCGTGAGCACGCCGGACGGGAAGTTCAAGGCGAAGGCCCGTATCATTCTGTTGGGCTTCTCACATCCAGACCTTGTCAGTCGCGACAAGTTCGGAGATCGGGTGCTTCCCACGGCGTCACCAACCATTTCAAGAAAAGGGAAGCTGGCACTCCTCCAGATGGCTGCTTTCCACGGCTGGACCTTCGAGCTAGCCGACGCGAAGTCCGCCTTCCTGCAGGCCGGGCACACCGAGGAGTGGAGGAAGCTCTACACGAAGGGCGTGAAGGAGCTCCGGCAGGCCTTGCAGATCAACGAGGAGGAGTCCATGCGAGTCCTGGCAGCGATCTACGGGATCACGAATGCGCCATGGGTTTTCTGGAAGTACGTGGACCACAAAATCCACGAAGCAGGAGGCAAGAGCGTCCTCATCGAGCCATGCATCTGGATCATTCAGGACCAGGACGGCACCGTGCGCGGGGTCATCGGCTCGCACGTGGACGACTTTGGCATCGCAGGCGACAGCGACAACAAGTTCTACCTCGACATGAAGAACATGCTGAAGGAGATGCTGCGGTGGTCTCCATGGCGAAGCACGCCGTGCATGTGGGCAGGCATGTGGATCACCCAGGAGCCATCGGGGAAGATCCATGCCAGCCAGGAGGAGTTCTGTCACCAGCTCCTCGAGATCAGGGTTGAGTCCGGCAAGTACCTCTCGAAGGATGACAAGCTCAAGCCGGAGGACGTCACCCAGTTCAGGGCAGGCCTGATGAAATGCCAATGGAGAGCGACACAGACAGCACCACAGTTCTCATGTCGGGCGTCACTGTTGGCCCAACGGGTGAACGAGGCGACGTTCGGGGACCTGAAGGACACGAACGCCCTCATACGCGATGTGAAGCGGACCGCTCGTGACTCCCTGGTGTTCCACAACTTCAATAGCAACTGTGGCGGCAAGCTGAAGTGGGACGACCTAGTGATCGTGACGTGGGTCGACGCAAGCAGACTACTACAACGAGGAGGCTACATCGTGGCGTTCACCACGGCCGAGATCCTCAAGCAGAAGGAATGTGCAGTATCGATCGCCGACTGGAGATCGTACAAGCTCAAGCGCACCGGCATCGGCACCAACGGCTGCGAGGGCCAGGCTCTGTACGACGGCGAGAACGCCGCGTACCTGATGCGCATGCTGTGGTCAGTCATGCACGGAGTTCCAGTCACCGCGCACACTCAGGAGGAGGTGGCGCAATCCATGACCTCGGTGCTGGTGATCGACAGCCGAGGAGTTTATGATTCAGTTCACAACAAGGAGAGCTTCGGCATAGGCCTGAGCGACGCGAGGACCGGCGTGGAGGTTTTGCATGTGAAGGCGAACTGCGGGCCCGAGAAGAACCAGCACTTGGTTTGGGTACCCTCGGACCTTAATCTCACCGACGGCCTCACGAAGGACAGTCCCGAGGCAAGGAAGCCTCTGGCTCTGTGGCTTGCACGGCGTACCTGGATCATCAGGTACGATGAGGATTTCATGTCAGCCAGGAAACGACAGCGAGCCAACAAACTCGCTCAGGACAAGCCACAGGCACCTACGGACGCTGAAGCCGAGGCCGCCGACGCTTTAGCTTTTCTCGACCTATCTTGAGGATAGGGTCGGGCTCTTTCTCATCATTCCTTTTCATATTTGTACTGTGCAGGGCCCCTCTTTTGATCCAGTTCGGTCGGAACGGTTGAGAAGGATTTTAGGCTCATGTCGAGCCGAGGCGACTCGAGCGAAGTTTTGGGTCAACCTCTCCTTCCTCACTCTCTCTTGCCGCCGCCTCCGCGGCTGTATGGGATCGAGGAGGGGGCCCCCTCTTTTGTGCAGAGAGCGCGGCAGACACGCTCGCCGGCACGGGCCGGCGCCAGATGCTCGACGGACGAGCGCAGCACATCTCATCGTGCAGAGTACATCGTCGACGGTAATCACGACAATCATCATCACCATCATCATCATCATCATCATCACCATCATCATCATCATCATCATCATCACTATGTAATCATCATCAGCAGCATGAGCGCCATCATCATCATCAGCCTCAGTCTCAGCCTCAGCCTCTTCCTCCTCCGTCTGGAGGGATAAGGAAATAAGGCATAGACATGACATGTTGCAGCCTTGGCGGTTGAAGACCCTGAACAGCTCGTCAGAGTGCAGAAGAGAACGTTACAGAGAGAGAGTGCGGTCGGACCGAGGTATAAGATCGAGGCC